AAGTGCTTTACTAGTAGTAACAAGAAGCTACTAGTAACAAGTGCATCCCTACTAGTAACAAGTGCCTTACTAGTAGTAACAAGAAGCTACTAGTAACAAGTGCATCGCTACCAGTAACAAGTGCCTTACTAGTAGTAACAAGAAGCTATTAGAAACCATGTTCGCTAGTAGGAAATCGCCGACTTGCACCAAGGCCCTCAGGGCCCGAAGGTCAGGCGGGGGGTGAGCTCGCACGGTCCACATTGGATGTCTCTCTCAATTGTGCAGTTGAACTTGGACCTTCAGGGAGGCAACCTCCGAGCAGATCCTCTTCATCCGATCTTGATCCGGTTGACCAGCCAAGTCCGCATCGAGGATTTGGCTGGTATTGGACGGTCTTGGAGTGGCAGCATCGGATCGATTTCCACGCTGGCTCTGGCGCACTGGGCGTTTGTGGCACCGGCGAAGTGAAGGACAGGAAGAATGCCACGGACTCCGCGCGCTGATCGCCCGGTGATCGCGATGGTTTTGCGCCGAAAGCGCTAGCGGAGCAGCTTTCAACAAATAGTGAACCATTGAGGTGACAAATCAACACGCTGCGACGCATGAAGATTTTGATCCTTTTTGCCACTGGAGATCTACAAGTCCAGTTTCTAAGCCCTCTATTCCCGGCCGGCGAAAGTTCTCTATGAGCTCGCCTTGCGGCAGTGTACGCACTGACAATGAAAACAATATTGCTCGTTGTACCAACATAGCCATCCGTTGCTCATCTGTTGCACAGTGTCTGTGCACGTGGTGAGGTGCCTGACACCTCTGACAATGACATTGATGAATTCATAGGCCTCCTTAATTTCACTGCCGGTGGCTCCTCCTCGCGTTCACCTCTTCTTGTTCTACTTCTGCCATTAAAACTTTGAGGTTGGTAGCAACAACCCACACTCAAGGAAGTGGAACTCAAGAACGAAGTGAAATGATCAAAACACAAAGTGCGGACTTTTCACACCTCCATAGGCATGGCTCCAAGGTGCACGTGTGGATCCCACCCATCTCAGGCGGATCCAAGGGCGGTTTGGCCCCAAAAGGGCAGCAGGAGTCGTTCAACCTGGCGTGAAGATCAAACCGACTTCACACCGGTGGGGGGGGGGTGCGCATGCAGCTTCAGCTTCATCTAAGGCGGCACTAGCAGCTTCAGTTTCAGCTGCGACCGTCTCAACTCCAAGCCAGTTTTCGCCCAACGTGTGGGCACACTCTTTGCAGGGCCTCAAGGTGTAGGTCACGTTCGCTGTTCTTTGGTTGGCGCACTGAAAGGAAGCGTGCCAACGCGCTCCATGGCTTTGTGTGGTGGACATCAGCGAGGATCGCAGCACGGACATGCTCGGATCATGTGGTTCTCGATGCGCTCGGATGGCGGGCCTGTAGAGTGTTCACGGCATGCCCAGCTTTGGTGAGCTTGCATCCAACTCCTTCTCTCTCTTGCGAAGGGAGATCAAGGTATCCAGATGACTGTACTCGGTCTGGATTGCAGCACTTCCTTGGTGGTGTCCTGGCCTTGGTTGGGTGGTGCAGTAGTTCATGAGCAGGTTCACGAGCAGGGCTACCATGACGGTGAAGTCCATGTTGTCTGAGAGTGGCTTTGTGTTGTTTGTGGGGCGCGCAGTGGTGGTGGGCGCTAGAGAGGCTAGTAGTGCCACTTGCGCCATTGGCTTTGTCACTGCATAGCGCAATTGGCTGCTCCTGCGCTGCTCAACATTCTTCTGATTCTGCAGCAAACTTTGGGTCTGGTCGTGGGCATGTTGTGTGGCCGCGTGGCCGTTGTGCGAGAAGTGCTGCAGCGCTGTGCTTTGTCGCGCCGTCAGCAAACTGGAGTTCGCTTGATATCCAGGCTACGTAGGCTCCTGTGCAAGGCAGTTTGTCCTTTGTCACTAACACTTCGACGCTTGTCTGCTTATCGGTTTGGATGAGCTTCCAAAACGCTGTGGCGTAGAGGAGCGAGCCTGCTGTCTCAGAAGCGGCCTGGCTTTCTGCAGCAAGACTTGATCTTGCTACTCTTAGTAGCTTCCATGATCGCCAATCGATCAGGTGGTAGTCGGTGGTAGT